TGGGGTATCCCCTAGCACAGGGGTTCAGTGTTAGACACCTGGGTATCCCCTAGCACAGGGGTTCAGTGTTAGCCACCGGGGTATGCCCTATCACAGGGGTTCAGTGTTAGTCACTGGGGTATCCCCTCTCTAACACAGGGGTTCAGTGTTAGACACTGGGGTATCCCCTCTTTAACACAGGGGTTCAGTGTTAGCCACCGGGGTATCCCCTCTCTATCACAGGGGTTCAGTGTTAGTCACCGGGGTATCCCCTCGTAGGGGTTCAGTGTTAGTCACCGGGGTATCCCCTCGTAGGGGTTCAGTGTTAGTCACTGGGGTATCCCCTAGCACAGGGGTTCAGTGGTAGTCACTGGGGTATCCCCTCGTAGGGGTTCAGTGTTAGACACTGGGGTATCCCCTATCACAGGGGTTCAGTGTTAGCCACTGGGGTATCCCCTCTCTATCACAGGGGTTCAGTGTTAGACACCGGGGTATCCCCTCTCTAACACAGGGGTTCAGTGTTAGCCACCGGGGTATCCCCTAGCACAGGGGTTCAGTGTTAGACACTGGGGTATCCCCTCGTAGGGGTTCAGTGTTAGCCACTGGGGTATCCCCTCTCTAGCACAGGGGTTCAGTGTTAGCCACTGGGGTATCCCCTCGTAGGGGTTCAGTGTTAGACACTGGGGTATCCCCTAGCACAGGGGTTCAGTGTTAGTCACCGGGGTATCCCCTCGTAGGGGTTCAGTGTTAGACACCGGGGTATCCCCTCTCTAGCACAGGGGTTCAGTGTTAGCCACCGGGGTATCCCCTATCACAGGGGTTCAGTGTTAGGCACCGGGGTATCCCCTATCACAGGGGTTCAGTGTTAGACTCTGGGGTATCCCCTCTCTAACACAGGGGTTCAGTGTTAGACACCGGGGTATCCCCTAGCACAGGGGTTCAGTGTTAGACACTGGGGTATCCCCTCTCTAGCACAGGGGTTCAGTGTTAGACACCGGGGTATCCCCTCGTAGGGGTTCAGTGTTAGACACCGGGGTATCCCCTCGTAGGGGTTCAGTGTTAGACACCGGGGTATCCCCTAGCACAGGGGTTCAGTGTTAGACACCGGGGTATCCCCTCGTAGGGGTTCAGTGTTAGACACAGGGGTATCCCCTCGTAGGGGTTCAGTGTTCTCACTCACCGTGGCCTCTCTCTCTCTCCCTCCCTCCCTCTCGCTCCCTCCCGGCATGCACCGCGACTCGAGGACGTTGGGCTGGTGGGGGGCGGACCGGGCAGCACCGGAAGTCACGAGGGAGAGAGCGAGAGAGAGAGAGGGGGTGGGGTGGGATGGAGGGGTTTCAGAGGTTTTTCTTCATTGGTAAAAACCTCTGAGTTGGCAAGGCGGGTGGGTGGGGTGGGGTCGCGGACGTTGGGGTGGGTGAGTTGACCGGGCAGCACCGGAAGTCAGCGGGAGTTTAGAGGTTTTTTTATATTGAAAAAAACCTCTGAGCTGACATTGTCGATGTGGAGGGGAGGGGCGGTCTGAAGGTTTAAAACCTCTGAGCTGACATTGTGGTTGTGGGTGAGGGAGCGGTCTGGAGGTTTAAAACCTCTGAGCTGACATTGTAGATGTGGGGTGAAGGGGGCGGTCTGGAGGTTTAAAACCTCTGAACTGACATTGTAGATGTGGGGTGAAGGGGGCGGTTTGGAGGTTTAAAACCTCTGAGCTGACATTGTAGATGTGGGGTGAGGGGGCGGTCTGGAGGTTTAAAACCTCTGAGCTGACATTGTAGATGTGGAGGGGAGGGGGGCGGTCTGGAGGTTTAAAACCTCTGAGCTGACATTGTAGATATGGGGGGGAGGGGGCGGTCTGGAGGTTTAAAACCTTTGAGCTGACATTGTGGATGTGCGGGGGGAGGTCTGGAGGTTTAAAACCTCTGAGCTGACATTGTGGATGTGGAGGGGAGCGGTCTGGAGGTTTAAAACCTCTGAGCTGACATTGTGGTTGTGGGGGGGAGGGGCGGTCTGGAGGTTTAAAACCTCTGAGTTGGCAAAGTTAATGTCTAACAGAGAGACACCCAGACCCAGGGCTTGAACCCTGACCCTAGGGTCTCAGTGTCTCTGACACGGCCATCGTGAACCCCCTAAGAGAGAGACACTCAGACCCAGGGCTTGAACCCTGACCCCAGGGTCTCAGTGTCTCTGACACGGCCATTGTGAACCCCCCTAAGAGAGAGAGACACCCAGACCCAGGGCTTGAACCCTGACCCCAGGGTCTCAGTGTCTCTGACACGGCCATTGTGAACCCCCCTAAGAGAGAGACACCCAGACCCAGGGCTTGAACCCTGAACCCAGGGTCTCAGTGTCTCTGACACGGCCATCGTGAACCCCTGAGAGAGACACCCAGACCCAGGGCTTGAACCTCGACATTCAAAGTGCCGATGCGATTCTGAATAGACACTCACCAGTCGCTGATCGATGGTTGTTGTTGTTATTTATTATCAAGGAGTAAACCATCATCACTATCATCATCACCACTATCATCGTCACCATCACCACCATCATCACTACTATCACCATCATCATCACCACCACCATCATCACTACCATCATCATCACTATCATCCCTAGCATCATCATCACTATCATTACTAGCATCACCATCATCATCACCACCATCACCATCATCACTACCATCATCATCATCACCATCATTACTACCATCATCATCATCATCACCATCATTACTACCATCACTACCATCATCATCACCATCATTACCACCATTACCACCATCATCATCATCATTACTACCATCACTACCATCATCATCACCATCATTACCACCATTACCACCATCATCATTACCATCATTACTACCATCACCATCACCACCTTCATCATCACTATCATCACTAGCATCATCATCACCACCATCACCACCATCACCACCACCATCACCACCACCACCATCACCACCACCACCACTATCACCATCACCACCATCACCAAGAAAGAGAGTGGGGGAGGTCATGGTGGGGGGAAGAGTGGGAGGGGGGGTGAGAGTGGGGGTCATGGGGAGAGTGGGTGGGGGTGAGAGTGGGGGGTAAGAGTGGGGGGGAGAGTGGGGGGGGTCAGAGTGGGGGGATCATAAGTGTCTGTGTGTGTCTGTGTGTCTGTGTGTGAGTGTCTGTGTGTGTGAGTGTCTGTGTGTGTGAGTGTCTGTGTGTCTGTGTGTGTGTGAGTGTCTGTGTGTCTGTGTTTGTCTGTGTGTGTGTGTCTGTGTGTCTGTGTGTGTGTGTGTCTGTGTGTTTGTCTGTGTGTGTGTGGAGCGGTAGTGTGGTGGTTAGCGCTACGCTGCGCTATGAACCTGGCGACCTGGGTTCGATTCCCGCTCACGGCCAACACCGGTGACGATTATCTGAATCGGTCCCGGGCCTCCCCTAGGTCGACTCAGCCTCAAATGAGTACTTGGTGCGGTGTGTAAACATCGCCAGTGGGGAGACAAAGGCGGTCGGGCGTGGTGCTGGCCACCCACCCCCTCGTGTGCCGTTCCGGCCTTCATAGGTGCTCGCTAACAGCACTTGCCCCTACAGTCTGTTACAGGCTATACGGGGGATCTTTGTCTTTTGTGTGTGTGTGTGTCACTGTGTGTGTGTCTGTGTGTGTGCATCACTGTGTCTGTGTGTGTGTGTATCACTGTGTGTGCGTGTCAATGTGTGTGTGTCAGAGTGTGTGTCAGTGTGTGTGTGTCCGTGTGTGTGTATCACTGTATGTGTGTGTGTCAGTGTGTGTGTGTCATTGTGTGTATGTGTGTGTCTGTGTGTCTGTGTGTGTGTCTGTGTGTGTGTGTGTGTCAGTGTGTGTGTGTGTCTGTGTGTGTGTCTGTGTGTCAGTGTGTGTGTGTGTCAGTGTGTGTGTGTGTGTCAGTGTGTGTCTGTGTGTGTGTCTGTGTGTCTGTGTGTGTGTCTGTGTGTCTGTGTGTGTGTATCTGTGTGTGTCTGTGTGTGTATCACTGTGTGTGTGTGTGTATCACTGTGTGTGTATCACTGTGTGTATCACTGTGTGTGTATCACAGTGTCACTGTGTGTGTATCACTGTGTGTGTATCACTGTGTGTGTGTCTGTGTGTATCAGTGTGTGTGTGTCTGTGTGTGTGTATCACTGTGTGTATCACTGTGTGTGTGTCTGTGTGTATCACTGTATGTGTGTGTATCACAGTATCACTGTGTGTGTGTGTATCTGTGTGTGTATCTGTGTGTGTATCACTGTGTGTATCACTGTGTGTGTGTGTGTCTGTGTGTGTGTCTATATGTCTATCTGTGTGTATATGTGTGTGTCTGTGTCTCACTGTGTGTCTATATGTCTATCTGTGTGTGTATCACTGTGTGTGTGTGTATCACTGTGTGTGTGTGTATCACTGTGTGTGTATCACTGTGTGTGTGTGTATCACTGTGTGTATCTGTGTGTGTATCACTGTGTGTGTGTATCACTGTGTGTGTGTCTGTGTGTGTGTATCACAGTGTCACTGTGTGTGTATCACTGTGAGTGTGTCTGTGTGTGTGTATCACAGTGTCACTGTGTGTGTATCACTGTGAGTGTGTGTATCACTGTGTGTGTGTGTGTGTATCACTGTGAGTGTGTGTGTCTGTGTGTGTGTGTATCACTGTGCGTGTATCACTGTGTGTGTGTATCACTGTGAGTGTGTGTGTCTGTGTGTGTGTATCACTGTGTGTGTATCACTGTGTGTGTGTATCACAGTGTGTGTGTATCACAGTATCACTGTGTGTGTATCACTGTGAGTGTGTGTATCACTGTGTGTGTGTGTGTATCACTGTGAGTGTGTGTGTCTGTGTGTGTGTGTATCACTGTGCGTGTATCACTGTGTGTGTGTATCACTGTGTGTGTGTCTGTGTGTGTGTATCACAGTGTCACTGTGTGTGTATCACTGTGAGTGTGTGTATCACTGTGTGTGTGTGTGTGTGTATCACTGTGAGTGTGTGTGTCTGTGTGTGTGTGTATCACTGTGTGTGTATCTGTGTGTGTATCACTGTGTGTGTGTGTGTGTCAGTGTGTGTGTGTGTATCACAGTGTGTGTATCACTGTGTGTGTATCACAGTGTCACTGTGTGTGTATCACAGTATCACTGTGTGTGTGTGTCAGTAGATCTTCTGCCGGGCAGGAGGCAGGACGCTCTCCTTGAGAACACCGAACAGCGTGAGGATGCCGGAGCGGCGACTCTTCTTGCCCTTGGTGAAGTAGTTAGACACCACGTCGTTCTCTAGTGGGGGGAAGGTGGGGGGAAGGTGGGGGGAAGGTGGGTGGGTGGGTGTATTAGTGAGTGAGTGCATGAGTGAGTGTATGAGTGAGTGAGTGTATGAGTGAGTGAGTGAGTGTATGAGTGAGTGTATGAGTGAGTGAGTGGGTGAGTGAGTGAGTGTATGAGTGAGTGAGTGTACGAGTGAGTGAGTGTATGAGTGAGTGTATAAGTGAGTGAGTGTATGAGTGAGTGAGTGTATGAGTGAGTTTGTGAGTGAGTGTATGAGTGAGTGAGTGAGAGTATGAGTGAGTGTATGAGTGAATGTATGAGTGAGTGTATGAGTGAGTGAGTGTATGAGTGAGTGAGTGTATGAGTGAGTGTATGAGTGAGTGAGTGTATGAGTGAGTGTATGAGTGAGTGTATGAGTGAGTGAGTGAGTGTATGAGTGAGTGAGAGTGTATGAGTGAGTGAGTGAGTGTATGAGTGAGTGTATGAGTGAGTGTATGAGTGAGTGAGAGTGTATGAGTGAGTGAGTGAGTGTATGAGTGAGTGTATGAGTGAGTGTATGAGTGAGTGAGTGTATGAGTGAGTGAGTGTATGAGTGAGTGTATGAGTGAGTGAGTGTATGAGTGAGTGTATGAGTGAGTGTATGAGTGAGTGTGTGAGTGTATGAGTGAGTGTATGAGTGAGTGAGTGTATGAGTGAGTGAGTGTGTGAGTGAGTGAGTGTATGAGTGAGTATATGAGTGAATGTATAAGTGAGTGAGTGAGTGTATGAGTGAGTGTATCAGTGAGTGAGTGAGTGTATGAGTGAGTGAGTGTATGAGTGAGTGAGTGAGTGTATGAGTGAGTGTATGAGTGAGTGAGAGTGAGTGTATGAGTGAGTGAGTGTATGAGTGAGTGCATGAGTGAGTGAGTGTATGAGTGAGTGTGTGAGTGAGTGTGTGAGTGAGTGTGTGAGTGAGTGTATGAGTGAGTGAGTGTATGAGTGAGTGAGTGTATGAGTGAGTGAGTGTATGAGTGAGTGAGTGTATGAGTGAGTGTATGAGTGAGTGTATGAGTGAGTGAGTGTATGAGTGTATAAGTGAGTGTATGAGTGAGTGTATCAGTGAGTGAGTGAGTGTATGAGTGAGTGTATGAGTGAGTGAGTGTATGAGTGAGTGTATGAGTGAGTGTATGAGTGAGTGAGTGTGTGAGTGAGTGAGTGTATGAGTGAGTGTATGAGTGAGTGAGTGTATGACTGAGTGAGTGTATGAGTGAGTGAGTGTATGAATGAGTGTATGAGTGAGTGTATGAGTGAGTAAGTGTATGAGTGTATGAGTGTGTAAGTGAGTGTATGAGTGAGTGTATGAGTGAGTGTATGAGTGAGTGTATGAGTGAGTGTATGAGTGAGTGAGTGTATGAGTGAGTGAGTGTATGAGTGAGTGTATGAGTGAGTGAGTGTATGAGTGAGTGAGTGTATGAGTGAGTGTATGAGTGAGTGAGTGTATGAGTGAGTGTATGAGTGAATGAGTGAGTGTATGAGTGAATGAGTGAGTGTATGAGTGAGTGAGTGAGAGCCTCACCAGACTGGGCGATGGTGCAGGGTAGAACGTTGTCCCCAGCAGACAGAGACACGAAGAAGGCAAACGGAACGAGCCACAGGCAGAGGGTGAAGTAGGCCAAGACCTGGTGAGGAGACGCACAGCTACAGCTACAGCTCCCCCAGGTAGCCACCGGCAGGGCTGTAGGGGCAAGTGCTGAGACACTGACAAAGCTCCCCCAAGTAGCCTCTAGCAGGGCTGTAGGGGCAAGTGCTGAGACAGAGACAAAGCTCCCCCAGGTAGCCTCTAGCAGGGCTGTAGGGGCAAGTGCTGAGACACAGACAAAGCTCCCCCAGGTAGCCTCTAGCAGGGCTGTAGGGGCAAGTGCTGAGACACAGACGAAGCTCCCCCAGGTAGCCTCTGGCAGGGCTGTAGGGGCAAGTGCTGAGACACAGACAAAGCTCCCCCAGGTAGCCTCCAACAGGGCTGTAGGGGCAAGTGCTGAGACACAGACAAAGCTCCCCCAGGTAGCCTCCTGCAGGGCTGTAGGGGCAAGTGCTGAAACACAGACAAAGCTCCCCCAGGTAGCCTCCGGCAGGGCTGTAGGGGCAAGTGCTGAGACACAGCTACAGCTCCCCCAGGTAGCCTCTAGCAGGGCTGTAGGGGCAAGTGCTGAGACACAAAGCTCCCCCAGGTAGCCTCCGGTAGGGCTGTAGGGGCAAGTGCTGAGACACAGCTACAGCTACAGCTCCCCCAGGTAGCCTCTAGCAAGGCTGTAGGGGCAAGTGCTGAGACACAGACAAAGCTCCCCCAGGTAGCCTCTAACAGGGCTGTAGGGGCAAGTGCTGAGACACAGACAAAGCTCCCCCAGGTAGCCTCTAGCAGGGCTGTAGGGGCAAGTGCTGAGACACAGACAAAGCTCCCCCAGGTAGCCTCTAGCAGGGCTGTAGGGGCAAGTGCTGAGACACAGACAAAGCTCCCCCAGGTAGCCTCTAACAGGGCTGTAGGGGTAAGTGCTGAGACACAGACAAAGCTCCCCCAGGAAGCCTCTAGCAGGGCTGTAGGGGTAAGTGCTGAGACACAGACAAAGCGCCCCCAGGTAGCCTCTAGCAGGGCTGTAGGGGCAAGTGCTGAGACACAGACAAAGCTCCCCCAGGTAGCCTCCGGCAGGGCAGTAGGGGCAAGTGCTGAGACACAGCTACAGCTACAGCTCCCCCAGGTAGCCTCCTGCAGGGCTGTAGGGGCAAGTGCTGAGACACAGTCAAAGCTCCCCTAGGTAGCCTCTAGCAGGGGGCTGTAGGGGGCAAGTGCTGAGACACAGACAAAGCTCCCCCAGGTAGCCTCTAGCAGGGCTGTAGGGGCAAGTGCTGAGACACAGACAAAGCTCCCTCAGGTAGCTTCTAGCAGGACTGTAGGGGCAAGTGCTGAGACACAGACAAAGCTCCCCCAGGTAGCCTCTAGCAGGGCTGTAAGGGCAAGTGCTGAGACACAGACAAAGCTCCCCCAGGTAGCCTCTAGCAGGGCTGTAGGGGCAAGTGCTGAGACACAGACAAAGCTCCCCCAGGTAGCCTCTAGCAGGGCTGTAGATGATGACGCCGATGATGATGATGACGATGATGATGATGACGATGATGACGATGATGACGATGATTACGATGATGATGACAATGACAACGATGATGATGATGATGATGACGATGATGATGATGATTACGATGATTACGATGACGATGATGATGATGACGATTACGATGATGATGACAATGATGATGACGATGATGATGATGACGATTACGATGATGATGACAATGATGATGACGATGATGATTACGATGATGATGACGATGATGATGATGACGATGATGACAATGATGATTATGATGATGATGACGATGATGACGATGATGACGATGATGGATCCTCACCTCTGTAAAGGGGTAGTGCTGTTCAGCAAAGTGCTGGAAGCCCACGTAGTGGTTCACAGCTACCAGCACTGCAACAACACACACGGTACAGATGTTGATTACCTCGCCTGGTACACAGGAGGTCGTGGGTGGGGTCGATTACCCTGAGAGATGTTGACTACCTCGCCTGGTACACAGGAGGTCGTGGGTTCCATCCTGACAATGGGGAGATGTTGACTACCTCGCCTGGTACACAGGAGGTCGTGGGGTCGATTACCCTGAGAGATGTTGACTACCTCGCCTGGTACACAGGAGGTCGTGGGGTCGATTACCCTGAGAGATGTTGATTACCTCGCCTGGTACACAGGAGGTCGTGGGGTCGATTACCCTGAGAGATGTTGACTACCTCGCCTGGTACACAGGAGGTCGTGGGGTTGATCCTGACAATGGGGAGATGTTGACTACCTCGCCTGGTATACAGGAGGTCGTGGGTTCGATTACCCTGAGAGATGTTGACTACCTCGCCTGGTACACAGGAGGTCGTGGGGTTGATCCTGACAATGGGGAGATGTTGACTACCTCGCCTGGTATACAGGAGGTCGTGGGTTCCATCCTGACAATGGGGAGATGTTGACTACCTCGCCTGGTCTACAGGAGGTTGTGGGTTCCATCCTGACAATGGGGAGATGTTGACTACCTCGCCTGGTGTGCAGGAGGTCGTGGGTTCGATCCTGACAATTGAGAGATGTTGACTACCTCGCCTGGTCTACAGGAGGTCGTGGGTTCGATCCTGACAATGGGGAGATGTTGACAACTTCGCCTGGTCTACAGGAGGTCGTGGGTTCCATCCTGACAATGGGGAGATGTTGACTACCTCGCCTGGTATACAGGAGGTCGTGGGTTCCATCCTGACAATGGGGAGATGTTGACTACCTCGCCTGGTACACAGGAGGTCGTGGGGTTGATTACCCTGAGAGATGTTGACTACCTCGCCTGGTACACAGGAGGTCGTGGGTTCGATTACCCTGAGAGATGTTGACTACCTCGCCTGGTACACAGGAGGTCGTGGGTTCCATCCTGACAATGGGGAGATGTTGACTACCTCGCCAGGTCTACAGGAGGTCGTGGGTTCCCTCCTGACAATGGGGAGATGTTGACTACCTCGCCTGGTACACAGGAGGTCGTGGGTTCGATCCCTGACCCTGGGTCTATGAGTAAGTGGGTGAGTGAGTGAATGGGCGAGTGAGTGGGTGAGCGAGTGGGTGAGCGGCTGAGTGAACAAGTGGTTGAGTGGGTGAGCGAGTGAGTGAGCGATTGGATGAGTGAGTGAGCGAGTGGATGAGTGAGTGTATGAGTGAGTGTATGAGTGAGTGAGTGAGTGTATGAGTGAGTGTGAGTGTATGAGTAAGTGAGTGTATGAGTGAGTGTGAGTGTATGAGTGAGTGAGTGTATGAGTGAGTGTATGAGTGAGTGTATGAGTGAGCGAGTGAGTGAGTGGATGAGTGAGTGGATGAGTGAGTGAACGAGTGAGCGAGCGAGTGAGTGGATGAGTGAGCGAGTGTATGAGTGAGCGAGTGAGGGAGTGAGTGTATGAGTGAGTGAGTGTATGAGTGAGTGTATGAGTGAGTGAGTGTATGAGTGAGTGTATGAGTGAGCGAGTGGATGAGTGAGTGGGTGAGTGTATGAGTGAGTGTATGAGTGAGTGTATGAGTGAGCGAGTGTATGAGTGAGTGTGTGAGTGAGTGAGTGTATGAGTGAGTGTATGAGTGAGCGAGTGAGTGAGTGGATGAGTGAGTGGATGAGTGAGTGAACGAGTGAGCGAGCGAGTGAGTGGATGAGTGAGCGAGTGTATGAGTGAGCGAGTGAGGGAGTGAGTGTATGAGTGAGTGAGTGTATGAGTGAGTGTATGAGTGAGTGAGTGTATGAGTGAGTGTATGAGTGAGCGAGTGGATGAGTGAGTGGGTGAGTGTATGAGTGAGTGTATGAGTGAGTGTATGAGTGAGCGAGTGTATGAGTGAGTGTGTGAGTGAGTGAGTGTATGAGTGAGTGAGTGTATGAGTGAGTGAGTGTATGAGTGAGTGTATGAGCGAGTGAGCGAGCGGGTGAGTGTATGAGTGAGTGAGCAAGCGAGTGAGTGAGTGGATGAGTGAGTGAGTGAGTGTATGAGTGAGTGAGTGTATGAGTGAGTGAGTGTATGAGTGAGTGAGTGTATGAGTGAGTGTATGAGCGAGTGAGCGAGCGGGTGAGTGTATGAGTGAGTGAGCAAGCGAGTGAGTGAGTGGATGAGTGAGTGAGTGAGTGTATGAGTGAGTGAGTGTATGAGTGAGTGTATGAGTGAGTGAGTGTATGAGTGAGTGTATGAGTGAGTGTATGAGTGAGTGAGTGAGCGAGCGGGTGGGTGAGCGGCACACTCACGGCAGGTGAGCACGAAGTTGGGCGAGGTGAGCTGGATGTAGGGGAAGGTACGCAAGAGGCCAAGGTGGACGACGCTGCTGAAGAGGCCCAGGCTGACGAGGATCAGCGGGAAGCTCTCAAAGATGAGGAGCCCCACATACACACAGGTGGACAGCTGGGGGTGGAGGGGGGTGAGTGAGTGAGTGGGTGAGTGGGTGGGTGAGTGGGTGGGTGAGTGGGTGGGTGAGTGGGTGAGTGTATGAGTGAGTGAGTGAGTGTATGAGTGAGTGTATGAGTGGATGAGTGTATGAGTGTATGAGTGAGTGTATGAGTGTGTGAGTGAGTGTATGAGTGTATGAGTGAGTGTATGAGTGAGTGTATGAGTGTATGAGTGAGTGAGTGTATGAGTGAGTGTATGAGTGTGTGAGTGTATGAGTGAGTGTGTGAGTGTATGAGTGTGTGAGTGTATGAGTGAGTGAGTGTGTGAGTGAGTGTATGAGTGTATGAGTGAGTGAGTGTATGAGTGAGTGTATGAGTGAGTGAGTGTATGAGTGAGTGTATGAGTGTATGAGTGAGTGAGTGTATGAGTGAGTGTATGAGTGAGTGAGTGTATGAGTGAGTGAGTGTATGTGTGAGTGAGTGTATGAGTGAGTGAGTGTATGAGTGAGTGAGTGTATGAGTGAGTGTATGAGTGAGTGTATGAGTGAGTGTATGAGTGTATGAGTGAGTGAGTGTATGAGTGAGTGTATGAGTGAGTGTATGAGTGAGTGAGTGTGTGAGTGAGTGTATGAGTGTATGAGTGAGTGAGTGTATGAGTGAGTGAGTGTGTGAGTGAGTGAGTCTCACCCAGATCATGTACTTGATAATCTTGCTCGTGACCACTGTGTACTCTTCTATCAGCTCCGCCAGGTAGTACAGCCCAGCCGCTGCAACCACAACCACCACCACAACCACCACCACAACCACAACCATCACCACAACCACAACCATAACAATCACAACTATCACAACCACCACCACAACCATAACAATCACAACTATCACAACCACCACCACAACCACCACAACCATAACAATCACAGCTATCACAACCACCACCACAACCACAACAATCACAACTATCACAACCACCACCACAACCACAACCACCACAACCATAACAATCATAACAATCACAACTATCACAACCACCACCACAACCACAACCATCACCACAACCATAACAACCATAACAATCACAACTATCACAACCACCACCACAACCACAACAATCACAACTATCACAACCACCACCACAACCACAACCATAACAATCACAACTATCACAACCATCACCACAACCACAACAATCACAACTATCACAACCACCACCACAACCACAACCATCACCACAACCATAACAACCATAACAATCACAACTATCACAACCATCACCACAACCATAACAACCATAACAATCACAACTATCACAACCACCACCACAACCACCACAACCATAACAATCACAGCTATCACAACCACCACCACAACCATAACAACCATAACAATCACAACTATCACAACCACCACCACAACCACAACAATCACAACTATCACAACTATCACAACCACAACAATCACAACTATCACAACCACCACCACAACCACAACAATCACAACTATCACAACCACCACCACAACCACAACAATCACAACTATCACAACCACCACCACAACCATAACAATCACAACTATCACAACTATCACAACCACCACCACAACCATAACAACCACAACAACCACCACCACAACCATAACAATCACAACTATCACAACCACCACCACAACCATAACAACCACAACAACCACCACCACAACCATAACAATCACAACTATCACAACCACCACCACAACCATAACAACCACAACCATAACAACCACCACCACAACCACCACAACCATAACAACCACAACAACCACCACCACAATCATAACAACCATAACAACCACAACCATAACAACCACAACCATAACAATCACAACTATCACAACCACCACAACCATAACAATCACAACTATCACAACCACCACAACCATAACAACCACCACCACAACCATAACAATCACAACTATAACAACCACCACCACAACCATAACAATCACAACTATCACAACCACTACCACCACAACCATAACAACCACAACCATAACAATCACAACTATCACAACCACCACCACAACCATAACAGCCAGAACAACCATAACCATCACAACCACCACCTCCACAACCACCAGTGAGTATGTGTATGAGTGAGTGAGTGTATGAGTGTATGAGTGAGTGTATGAGTGAGTGAGTGTATGAGTGAGTGAGTGTATGAGTGAGTGAGTGTATGAGTGAGTGTATGAGTGAGTGAGTGTATGAGTGAGTGAGTGTATGAGTGAGTGAGTGTATGAGTGAGTGTGTGTATGAGTGAGTGTATGAGTGAGTGTATGAGTTAGTGGTGAGTGAGTGTATGAGTGAGTGTGTGTATGAGTGAGTGTATGAGTGAGTGAGTGTATGAGTGAGTGAGTGTATGAGTGAGTGAGTGTATGAGTGAGTGTATGAGTGAGTGAGTGTGTGAGTGAGTGAGTGTATGAGTGAGTGAGTGTATGAGTGAGTGTGTGTATGAGTGAGTGTATGAGTGAGTGTGTGAGTGAGTGAGTGTATGAGTGAGTGTATGAGTGAATGAGTGTATGAGTGAGTGAGTGTATGAGTGAGTGAGTGTATGAGTGTATGAGTGAGTGTATGAGTGAGTGAGTGTATGAGTGAGTGTGTGAGTGAGTGTATGAGTGAGTAAGTGTATGAGTGTATGAGTGAGTGGGTGAGTGAGTGAGTGGGTGAGTGAGTGAGTGTATGAGTGAGTGAGTGGGTGAGTGTATGAGTGAGTGGGTGAAAGTGTGAGTGAGTGACTGGGTGAGTGAGTGGGTGGGTGAGTGAGTGGATGAGTGAGTGGATGAGTGAGTGAAAGTGTGAGTGAGTGACTGGGTGAGTGAGTGAATGGGTGAGTAAGTGAGTGGGTGAGTGACTGGGTGAGTGAGTGACTGGGTGAGTGAGTGGGTGAGTGACTGGGTGAGTGAGTGACTGGGTGAGTGAGTGGGTGAGTGACTGGGTGGGTGAGTGAGTGGGCAAGTGACTGGGTGAGTGGGTGTAGTGCATAGTGTAGTGTGTAGTCGTGTATAGTAGTGTATAGTGTAGTGTGTAGTAGTGTAGTGTATAGTAGTGTAGTGTGTAGTAGTGTAGTGTATAGTAGTGTAGTGTATAGTAATGTCGTGTATAGTGTAGTGTATAGTGTAGTGTATAGTAGCGTAGTGCAGTGTATAGTAGCGTAGTGTATAGTAGTGTAGTGTGTGGTAGTGTATAGTGTAGTATATAGTAGTGTAGTGTATAGTAGTGTAGTGTATAGTGTAGTGTTATAGTGTAGTGTATAGTGTAGTGTATAGTAGTGTAGTGTTATAGTGTAGTGTATAGTGTAGTGTATAGTGTAGTGTATAGTAGTGTAGTGTATAGTAATGTAGTGTATAGTAGTGTAGTGTTATAGTGTAGTGTATAGTAGTGTAGCGTATAGTGTAGTGTGTAGTGTATAGTAGTGTAGTGTATAGTAGTGTAGTGTCATAGTGTAGTGTATAGTGTAGTGTATAGTAGTGTAGTGTATAGCAGTATAGTGTATAGTGTAATGTATAGTAGTGTATAGTGTAGTGTATAGTAGTGTATAGTGTAGTGTTTAGTAGTGTAGCGTAAAGTGTAGTGTGTAGTGTATAGTAGCGTAGTGTATAGTAGTGTAGTGTTATAGTGCAGTGTATAGTGTAGTGTATAGCAGTGTATAGTGTAGTGTATAGTAGTGTAGTGTTATCGTGTAGTGTATAGCAGTGTATAGTAGTGTATAGTAGTGTAGTGTATAGTAGTGTAGTGTATAGTAGTGTACTGTTATAGTGTAGTGTATAGTAGTGTATAGTGTAGTGTATAGTAGTGTATAGTGTAGTGTATAGTAGTGTATAGTGTAGTGTATAGTAGTGTATAGTGTAGTTTATAGTAGTGTATAGTGTAGTGTATAGTGTAGTGTATAGCGGTGCGTGTTGTTACCTATAGCGAGCGTGACGAATGAAATCTGCAGGAGGATTGAGAGCCAGCTGAGTAAGTAGATAAACCACATCGCTACTCACGGACATCACCAGCTGGCGGGAGACTGAAATCGCGTTGAGGCCTCTCTCTCTGTGTCTCTCTCTGTCTGTGTCTCTCTCTGTCTGTGTCTCTCTCAGGCTGTGTCTCTCTCTGTCTGTCTCTCTCTGTGTCTCTCTCTCTGTGTCTCTGTCTCTCTCTCTCTCTGCGTCTCTCTCTCTCTCTGTGTCTCTCTCTGTCTGTCTGTGTCTCTCTCTGTCTGTCTCGCTGTCTCTCTCTTTCTGTCTCTGTGTCTCTGTCTCTGTGCCTCTCTCTGCGTCTCTCTCTCTGCGTCTCTCTCTCTCTCTCTGCGTCTCTCTCTGTCTGTGTCTCTCTCTCTCTCTGTCTCGCTGTCTCTCTCTTTCTGTCTCTGTGTCTCTGTCTCTGTGTCTCTCTGTCTCTCTCAGTCCATTCAAAGTTGGAGATTCGCTTCGTGCGCCACCATCTTGGTAAGGGGGAGGTGGGGACGTGGCGCGCGGGAGGGTTGGGAGGCCGCCGGCCATCTTGGTAAGGAAGAGAAAGGACGGCGACCATCTTGGTAAGGAAGAGAAAAACATGGCGGCCATCTTGGTAAGGAGAGGGAGCGAGATGGAGGGTTGGCGGCCATCTTGACAACGGCTTGCGGCCATTTTGGTAAAGGGGGTTGGGGCTTTGTCGGTCATCTTGGCAAAGGGGGGGTTGTCGGTCATCTTGGTTTGGACATATTTGTTTTGTCGTAGTACGGAGTTAGACTGATGGGCCTTAATCTAAGTTTTCTTGTGCTTGTTGTTGTTGTTTGGATTTTTTCTGGAATATTTTGCTGTTTTTTTTTCATGGATTTTTTTTGTTTTGCACAGTCACATAGTCACTTTAAGATGTTTTCTTGTTCGTGTTTTTGTTTTTTTTGTTTGTTGTGGTTGCACCCGATTCAAGAGCCGAATGGCTCACAGGGCTATACCAAAATAAATAAACTGAAAACTGAAACTGGTTATCGGCCATCTTGTCATAGGAAATAAATCCTGGCGGCCATCTTGGCAACGGAAAAAGAGAGTTGGCTCTCGGCCATCTTGGCAAGGGAGACAAAGGCTGGTGGCCATCTTGGTAAGGGAGAGTGAGAGGGCTTTTGGCCATCTTTGTAAGGAAGAGAATGGCTGGTGGCCATATTGGTAAGGGGTGACGGCCATGTCCGTATAGGGGGCGGCCGTGACATCAGAATCGGGGACGTTTCTGGAGTGACGTCACCGCCCGCAATGCAACTCAAGGGGGCTTCCATAGTGACGAAGTGACGTCACTACGGAAGCTCTTGAGAATGCTGGGTAGTGTGTTTGGTGACGTCATTCCGTTAACAGTTTAAGTGTATACGTGGTGACGTCACTTCATAAGCTCTTGAGAATGCTGGGTAGTGTGTTGGGTGACGTCACTCCGTTAACAGTTTAAGTTTATACGTGGTGACGTCACTTCGTAAGCTCTTGACTTGTCTTTGCTCAGGGGGGGTGGTGCGCGAAGAGCCCACGAAGCGACGTGGTGACGTCACCGCAATACAATTCAATGGGGCTTCCGTAGTGTGTGCGGTGACGTCACTCCGTCGAGAGATCGTGTAGTGACGTCACCCCATAGCGACGTGGTGACGTCACCGCAAATCATGGGGGCTTCCGTCGCGACAGAGTGACGTCACTACGGTAGCCAGTGGAGTGCGTGCGGTGACGTCGCTCCGTCGAGGGCACCAATGTAGCGACGTGGTGACGTCACCGCAATTCAACGCGAGCTTCCGTTGACCGAGTTACGTCACTACGTAAAGCTCCGGGGGGGGGGAAGTGTGCGGCAACGTCGGCTCCGTTGAGATCCCACTGAGCGACGCGTCATGACGTCATCGCAATATAACTCAAGGTGACGTCACGCGACCGCCGTCTATCTTCCTGTCGCTCAAAAAAAGGCGGGAAAAGTTCGCAGCGGGCGGCGGAGGCGAAGCGACAACTTTAGCGGCAATTTCTCTGAGGTAAATGATCCAACGTAACATTATTATTTACAGTTAAATTGTTCTAATATTTAACTTATAACTTGCGTGACCGCAGGAATTCATGATCTTTGGTTATTTCGGTAAAAGTCACGTAGATTAAAAAATAATAATTAACAAAAGTACAAACGCGTTTTTATTTGTATTTATTTTTCTATCTACATCACTTTACCGAAAGAACCAAAGAATATAAAATGTTATATATCTACTATATATGTGCATACAGCTTACATTTTTACAAAGTATACGCACTTTTGTATTTGGATGTGTAATCACCAATGTCCCCCGATCTATCCCTTGAGGTAAATGATTCCAACGTAACATTATTTAAAGTAATGATGTTTTTACATACTAATATATATAACAACTGTGGATATAAAAAAAACATTCTTACATTGTATTTACAAAATAAAAAAAATTGTATTCGATGTGTAAATAACCAGCGCCCACACCCCCCTCTCTGAGGTAAATGCTTCCAAACGTAACATTATTATTATACATTATTATTTAAAGTAAAATATTACATACATACTGTGTATATGTACAAGGCTTACATTTTACAAGGTATACACTTTTCTATTCTGTGTGTAATAACCAGCGCCATCTGAGGTAAATGCTTCCAAACGTAACATTATTATTATACATTATTATTTAAAGTAAAATGTTACATACATACTGTGTGTATATGTACAAGGCTTACATTTTACAAGGTATACACTTTTCTATTCTGTGTGTAATAACCAGCGCTATCTGAGGTAAATGCTTCCAAACGTAACAACATTATTATTATACATTATTATTTAAAGTAATTTAGTTTATATGCTGTGTATATGAAGAAATAATCTTACATTTATACAAAGTACGCTTTTATATTCAATGTGTTAATAACCAGCGCCTCTCCCTCTTACGTAAATCGTTCTAACGTAACATTATGTATTAGTATTTAATGTAATTTAGTTTATATATACTGTGTATATATAAGAAATATATATAACAAAACTATCTCACATTTTTACAAAGTATAGTTTTGTATATTCGGCACCGTGTTAATATCCAACGCCTCTCTCTGAGGTAAATCGTTCCAACGTAACATTATTATAATTCATTATCATTTAAAGTAAATTCGTTTATAGATATACTGTAATGTGTTACACATAAAGGTGACAAAAATATATAAAATAATCTTACATTAATAGCCAGCGTCTCTCTCTCTCTCTGAGGTAAATGCTTACAACGTAACTTTATTATTGAAAGTTATTTCAATTTTGATTTAAAGCGTTCGTGACTGCAGGGATTCATATTCTTAGTTATTTCGGTAAAGTCACCACCACGTAGAAGGGAAACAATAAAATAATTAAAATATAAAACAATAAAATAATAAAAATATAAAACAATAAAATTAATATTCTTGGTTATTTCGGTAAAGTCACCACCACGTAGAAGGGAAACAATAAAATAATAAAAATATAAAACAATAAAATTATTATTCTTGGTTCTTTCTGTAAAGTCACCACGTAGAAGGGAAACAATAAAATAATAAAAAATACAATTATGGTAAAACAATAAAATTATTATTCTTGGTTCTTTCGGTAAAGTCACCACCACGTAGAAGGGAAACAATAAAAAAATATATAAAAAATAAAATTATTATTCTTGGTTCTTTCGGTAAAGTCACGTAGAAGATAATTGTATTGTTTTAGATTTTATTATTTTAATTATCGTAAAACAAAAAAATCTATTGTTTTATATTTTTATTATTTTATTGTTTCCCTTCTACGTGGTGACTTTACCGAAATAACCAAGAATATTAAAGTAATTTAGTTTTTACATGAACTGTGTACATACAAAAACAACTACCTTACACTTCTTACAAAGTACACTTTTTATGTTCGATGTGTAAATAATAAATTTTGATTTAAAAGCTTTCGTGACTGCAGTAATTCATATTCTTAGCTCTTTCGGTAAAGTCACGTTGAAGGGAAACAATAAAATAATAAAATATATAGAAAACTATGAAAATATAGTCACGTTGAAGGGAAACAATAAAATAATAAAATATATAGAAAACAATGAAATATATTTATTATTTTATTGTTTCCCTTCAACGTGACTTTACCGAAAGAGCTAAGGATATGAACCAGCGTCATGTTAAAGTGATTGTTTTACATGTGTACGTTATACACTCAGGATCTTGAGACACTCAGGGTAGACCGTGTCTCAGGATCTTGAGACACTCAGGGTAGACCGTGTCTCAGGGTCTTGAGACACTCAGGGTAGACCGTGTCTCAGGATCTTGAGACTCTCAGGGTAGGCCGTGTCTCAGGATCTTGAGACACTCAGGGTAGACCGTGTCTCAGGATCTTGAGACTCTCAGGGTAGACCGTGTCTCAGGATCTTGAGACACTCAGGGTAGACCGTGTCTCAGGATCTTGAGACACTCAGGGTAGACCGTGTCTCAGGATCTTGAGACACTCAGGGTAGACCGTGTCTCAGGATCTTGAGACACTCAGGGTAGACCGTGTCTCAGGATCTTGAGACACTCAGGGTAGGCCGTGTCTCAGGATCTTGAGACACTCTCAGGGTAGACCGTGTCTCAGGATCTTGAGACTCTCAGGGTAGGCCGTGTCTCAGGATCGTGAGACACTCAGGGTAGACAGTGTCTCAGGATCTTGAGACAATCAGGGTAGACAGTGTCTCAGGATCTTGAGACACTCAGGGTAGACGGTGTCTCAGGATCTTGAGACACTCAGGGTAGAGCGTGTCTCAGGATCTTGAGACACTCAGGGTAGAGCGTGTCTCAGGATCTTGAGACACTCAGGGTAGACCGTTTCTCAGGATCTTGAGACACTCAGGGTAGACCGTGTCTCAGGATCTTGAGACACTCAGGGTAGACCGTGTCTCAGGATCTTGAGACACTCAGGGTAGACCGTGTCTCAGGATCTTGAGACTCTCAGGGTAGACCGTGTTTCAGGATCTTGAGACACTCTCAGGGTAGACCGTGTCTCAGGATCTTGAGACACTCTCAGGGTAGACCGTGTCTCAGGATCTTGAGACACTCAGGGTAGACCGTGTCTCAGGATCTTGAGACACTCAGGGTAGACAGTGTCTCAGGATCTTGAGACACTCAGGGTAGACAGTGTCTCAGGATCTTGAGACACT